TGTAAACAGCATGATAATATATTAAGTAATCCAAAGTATTCAGAATACGTTACTCTCATTGAGTAACGTAACGGAATACGTTACAGAATACATTTGGGGCATGTATTCTGTATTCTGTAATGGAATACATTTTAAAAGTAACCTTCCCAACACTGTATATTTGTAAATTGTCATGCATTTCATAGATTTGTGTGGAGCTAGAAAATTGTTCACTGATAATGTAGAACCAGTAATCATTCACCTTTTATTCAGCTGGATATAAAATCTGCACTTTTGCTGAATAATCAAGCAATAAAAAGTCACGCAAGCCTTTTTCATTGCACAAAGATTTTGTTGTCTTTCAAGTTCTGTTTGCATTTCCCATGACTTTATTCTCTGAAGACTTGTGCACATAAATAAAATTCAGACCACAAACTGCTCACTTGCCGCATACTGTATAGATTAATGTAGTTTACTGACAAAAAAAGCCCCCAAAATTAGCAAGCGGTAGTCAACTAACACACACATGCACATTTAAGAATAAATAGTCTTCATCATTATTACAATGAAGATAATCCATAGAAGTACCTGAAATAAAAGGAACTTTTTGGCAATCACAGAAAGCAAGCCTGGCTTTTTATTTATTTTTAATAAATTCACAAATCAGTCCCACGATGCAAACACTCCATTCTTCACTTTTTTCTCATCAAGAATTTAGTTCAGACTATTTGTATGTGATGCATCTACTTTTATTCTTGTCACTCTCCTGGCTGCAGTTTTGCATGGCTGCTGCGTCCTCAATGCCCCTGGCGTACAGACGCACCAGCTGACCGTGGATCCTGACAGAAGTGAACAAATCTATTTAATTATATATCTTATGTATCATAACGTATTATTGTAGGATCTTTACCCTACAATACAAAGTGCTATGAGGCAACTGTTGTAATTTAGCACCGTATATGTTGGGTGGTGCTCTTACCTGCAGAAGATCTCAGTGAAAGGCAGAATCTCTCCATCACAGTTCCACACGGACACAGCTGGAGTCTTTTTGCAGCACAGGCCACACAGGATGGGAGCCACTGTTTTGTGCTCGTTCATCGTCTCTCGCTCCACCACGCTCTGAGCCAATTGCTGCTGAGATCCATTTCTGCTTACAGTGTCCACGTACTCTCGCTCTTCGCCACCTATTGCGCGATTCAGCTCTCCGATTCCTTCATGCACCTCTTCTTCTCTGCCATCTGGGAGAGAGAAACGGACGGCCTTCACTCGATGGACCTCCACAAACGGCAGGTCAAACTAGGAGAAGTAGGAACGATTGGGTCAAGCGGTTTCTAAAGTTTCTCAGTCCATTTGTTTGCAGCTGAATGTGATATACCTGGTCCTGTGTGCTTGTGTGTCTGTAGAGGAACTTGAGGAAGCTCAGTGGGTGAGTGTCCCATACTAGGATGAGATCCCCTGTTCCGTCTGCCAGATGAGCCGACGGAGAGAGACCTAATGGGCTCCTGGCACATGAGCTGGACATACAAGTGATCGATACACACCTGAACCTGCCCTCCACACTCACCCATTCACCTAAAGAGAGACGAAGAGATTGGAGATACTACGATTAGAACGATTTTAGCAGATGTTGATGATTTCTAAAGAAAATAATGTTTGGCCAATGTTTAATTATAGAAAGAGGTGCCCCAGGGGTCATAAGGCAAGGGGGAAAAAACATTTGTGTGATTTTACTTATTTCAATATGTGTTGTGGACAACAACAGGAAGGCAAGAAAAACTCAAACCACCAGTCATGACAACCGAGGTACAGAGAAGGGCATGTCCGAACAAACAAAAAGTTGTATCTTGAAGCAGATGGGCTGCAGCAGAAGACCACACTGGGTGCAACTGCTGTCAGCTAAAAACAGGAAATTGAGGCTATAATTTTCACAGTTTCACCAAAATTGGACCACAGAACACTGAAAAAAAACTTTTGTTCCAGTTTTGATTGTTGGTAGAGTCAGAATTTGGCATAAACAACATAAAAACATGAATGCATCCTGCCTTGCATCAACACTTAAGGGTGGTGGTGTCAGGCAGTGTCACAGGGGACCCATCTTTTGATGGCTTCTTCTCTCATCATCTCAAACTGGTTTCTTGAACATGACAATGAGTTCACTGCACTTTTATCCTCCACAGTCACTCAATCTCAAACCAACAGTCCACATTTGAGATGTGCACCAATCTGCAGCAGCTATCTGATGTTATCTTGTTATCATGTACCAGAATTTACGAGTATTTGTATCGTTACCTTCAGAGTCATTGCTGTACTGGCTGAAGTGGGAGCTGTACAGGGAGCCTGAATCAGAAGTGTGTGGGAATAGTCGCTCTGTACTTCTGGAGCACACATTGCACCTAAAAAGAACAAAGAGTTTCACTCTCCTTCACGTCTGTGAACTAACAAGCTCCCTGACCTTAGCAACAGCATTCATAAGAGCATTATAATCCATTCGCTGACAGCCAGAGACACCTGCTCCAAACAAAAACTAAGGTACTAACAAGAGGCTTGGTCTCAACTTTCAACTAGATCAAGTTTCTCTTGCTATGTCTCTTCTACCCTCCTCAAGGAACGAGCAACCAACACCTGAGTCCCTGCTACAGGGGGTAGCAGTTACAGTATCTCAAAGTGAATTTGACCCATTTCACTAGTCCTTGAATAATAATGATGCTCCTCACAAGGGCACCTTCTCGCTTTCAAATTAAAAGATTAAAAATGATCTTCCTTTTTAAAAACCCCACCAGAGTAACAAAAAAGTTAAAGGCTTTCATATTTTCTTCAAGGTCACGTTTTGGCCTGACTTGCAAGTGAAAGTTGCAGTTACATTAACAACGGGAGGAAAGCCAGAGCACAGTCTCTTTTTATCTCTTTCTAGTAGGCGTTTTACCCTGAGAGGCAGCGCGTTTTATCCTTAGGGCTGGAGAGCAGTGGGTCTGCTGGTAGATACTGAACTATGCCCGCATAGCTTCTGTTGCTCAGGTACACAACTGTACCTATACAGAAGAAAAAAATTAAGGTCGGGTAAAAATACAGAACACCAGATACTGTATATGTGCAAGATTTTAAAATAGAACAACAGTGGTTTTACTATAGCAAATGCTGAAAAGGGAAGCACAGATGCCACAAGAGACTTTCAATTTGGTCAGCTTGATAACAGTTACAGTTTCAGGATGAATTTTTAACTTTGAGATAAAAATAAATATAGAGAATTTGACAGAATGTTCTTCAGCAGACTGTCATTTGCTTTGTTCTAAATGAATCATCGGTCTGGACCTGAATAGTCGTATCTGAGAGGTCCCATCCAGCGGTGTTTTTCACTCTCAGCCAGTACGTCTCCATAGAAGCCATAGCCCACCAGAGATACCGAGTAGCGTACCAGGGTGGAAGCATGGTGAACTGAACACACGTCTAATGGCTGAGAGTCTCCTGCAAGGCATTGAGGACATTAAGGGGTGGGTGTACAAACTTATTTATACAGTTCCAATTTTAAAAAAAAAAAAAATATATGATCAGGGTTACACTCCCTTTACATTCATGAGAAAGAAAGTTTTCACAAGACTCTGTGCGATTCTATGAAAACATCAATACACTGTGTTATGGAAATTTTAACAATAACCTGCAACACACCCAGTGAGCTTGATTTGAAGTGGGT